AACGATTGTTTATTCCTTATCAGCAGCTTCACATTAAAAAGCTGCAACTAGTTTGTTTAGGTTCCTAGGGATTTTTTGGGATCTGCTAGCATGGTGGATTTAAGCTGGATTTAAAATTATTTGAAATTATTCATATTCCATCACCCGGATAACAGTGTTATGCACCATTTGGATGAGATGAGACGGATGAGCGATGAGGGAGACAGAGCGAGTCACGCAGCGATCATATTTTTTGTCAATGTCAATATCAATGTCAATGTCAATGTCAATGTCCATGTCAAGGTCAATATCAATGTCAATATCAATATCAATGTCAATGTCAATGTCAAGGTCAATGTTAATAGCAATGTCAATGTCAATGCCAATGTCAATGTCAATGTCAATATCAATATCAATGTCAATGTCAATGTCCATGTCAAGGTCAATGTTAATATCAATATCAATGTCAATGTCAATGTCAATATCAATGTCAATGTCAACGGATTTTTTCATATGCAATACATGTTTCGGTAAAAATCACACGTATTAAAACCCAATAAAGATCAATGTGGTACCATAGGCTGAGCTAAACTCCATAACAGAAAGCGGATACATTTTCCCCACGGGGTCATGAGATATCACAAGCTGAGTTAAACTCATAACAGAAAGCATCTTGGCGGATACATTTTCCCACAGGGCAATTCAGAACAAAAGAAGGAATTTCATAAAAGATTCACCAGTCACACGATTCCTAAAACTTGTTAATCCGATCAAATTTAACCATTCTTATTCAAGATTTCTCACTAAAATTCGTGTTTTTCTCTCTCTCAATGTTTCTCAATTTTGTGAAAAAAATCAATAAAAGTTTCTCTTTCCAAAAAGTTCCAAAAGCTACTATCTCAAAAAAGTCAGCTGACAGTCGTGCGATCACTCAAAAGCATTTCGTTTTTTCAATTGCAACTCTTTTATTCTGAATTTTGATTATTTCAATCAAAAGAACTTATTTTTGCTATTTTTTTAATCAAATTCAAATCAAATTTCTTTTTCAAATGGATGAACTTTGGTATGCCACAAAAGTTATGGTAAGAAAATTATTAAGAAAAAAAAATTTATAGAAAAGAAATTGAATGTTTCAATATTAAAGGAAATTCAAATTGAAAATAATTTTCTAAGGTTTATTCTGTGAGCACTCTTGCTACGAGTACAATGAGTGGGGTGATTTCGGGGACGCTTGTTGGTGGGCCTGTGGGAACGATTGTCGGTGGAACGCTGGGATTTGCTGGTGGAGTGTATGGAGCTGCCAAGGTTGCTTGGAGCATCGAAAGATAAATTGCTATCACTTTTACCGTAAATATTGTAATAGTACCCCAGCCCCATAATGACGGTGCGGAGTGTTGCGTAGTCTAGCTTTTGAACGAGTTTTTCTTGACACTGGTTTATGCTACAATGCGCGATTAGGTATCAAAAAATAGCCCTGAATTTCAGCTATTTTTTGATACCAAAGACGCATATTGAAAGGACGGGCGCTTTGGAAAAATGAAATACTAAAAAGTTTTGCGACTACGCGACTGTACGAGGCGGGTGGGGTACTATTACAGTATCTACGGTATTTGGCACGCACTTGATACCTATTTCGTAACTATTTGGTGACTCTTTTGTACCTATTTGGTAACTATTTGTTAGCCATTTGGTAATTATTTGATACCTATTTGGTACGCATTTGATACCTGTTTGGTAACTACCGTAAATACTGTAACAGTACCCCACCCCATAATGAAGGTGCGGAGTGTTACGTAGTCTAGCTTTGAACGAGGTTTTTCTCGACACTGGTTTATGCTACAATGCGCTTAGGTATCAAAAAATAGCTGAAATTCAGGGCTATTTTTTGATACCAAAGACGATTTTTGAAGGACGGGCGCTTTGAAAAATGAAATACTAAAAAAACTTTTGGGACTACGCGACTGTACGAGGCGGGTGGGGTACTATTACAGTATTTACGGTATGTGTATTTTTTGTTTTGATTATTTCTTATGATCTCAAAATGTTTCTTTTAAATAAAAGTGTTATATTAGAAGGAAAATGTCAAAACATTTAACACCATTTAACAAACGAAAGCTTCAACATTCAGCCAAGTCTTGGAGTAAAAACATTGAAAACTAAGGAAAACCCACGGGTTTTCTATTTGAATTTTTAGAGTTCAATTATTAGTTTCTTTTTTGATTTAAAAATAAAAAATAGTTTCTTGAGGGTTCATCAATTTTCGGCAATCCAAAAAAAGCTAAAATTTTGAGCTGCTTTCTTTCAGAGCCAAACATAAAAGCTGGTCTTGTAAAAAAAACTGATTAAAAAATACCAGTTCTAAAAAAAGTTTTGGCCAAAATATTTGTGATAAGTTAAAGAATTTTTTAAATCTTTTGGTTTTTATTAATTTGCTCTGTTTTGTTCCTAACAAGTGATCAACTCTGCAACGTTTCCACAGAACGTTTCCACGTTTTTCAAAAACCTCACATTCGGAATGTGAGGTTGGTGAGAAACAAAGGTGAACAAGTGCAGCACTGATTTATTTTTTCATAACTTTTACAGTACAAAATACTTTGAAGTTAGTAAATTTTCACTTTTTCAGGCTGACACGAACGAGTTTATGAATAGCAAAGAACTCAAAACCGCAAAACAAAGATTTTCCGATGACTGACACCTAATGAGCATCACCTAGTGAATCTGATCGGCATTCATGAATCCCTTATAGTCCGGACCTGAACCCATCAGATTATTTGAAATCGACGAGCTTGGTTGGAAACTTCTGCCCCACGCACCTTATAGTCCGGACCTGAACCCATCAGATTATTTTTTGTTTCGGTCGTTGAAGAGTTTTCTTATGGGAGAAAAGTTCGAGAATCATGCACAGATCGAAAAAAGCAGTCGACACGGATTTTGGCTCGAAAACTCCCCATTTTTTTTTTGAGGATGGGATCAGGGACTTTCGACAATGATGGGAACAAGTTATCAATAATAATTGAGAATATCTCATTTCATGAATCCCGATCAGTTTCACTAGGTGATGTTCATTAGGTGTTAGTCATTGGAAAATGTTTGTTTTGCGAATATCTAATGTCAAATTCTGGTGTGTTTGTTTTAGAAAATTTTTGTTAAATGTGAAAATGAAATCTTGGAGCCAACTGTAAAGTTGACTTCAAGAAGATCTTTTGTTGTTCTCAATGAAAAATGTTTTGCACGTGTTTAGGAAAATTTTTTCATTTACTTGTCAATAATTTAGAAGAAATGAATTCATTTATTTATTTCTTTATTTAAAAATTCAAAAATTATAAGAAGTGACAAACAAAAATAGCCTATGAGATAGATTTTTGGATGCTGATTTCAAATCTGCAAACAGATTTTCGCTAGCTCCTCCCAGTCGCGAGATATTGGGGAGTTTTGGTTTTGGCTTTGGTTTTGGTTTTGGTTTTGGTTTTGGTTTTTGGTTTTGTTATGGTTTTGGTTTTGGTAGTTTTGGTTTTGGTTAAGTTTTGTTTTCCGAAGTCTAGTATTAATAATAGTATTAGTGTTACCATAAAAATCTATAGTATTAATAATAGTACTAGTGTTACCATAAAAATCTAGTAAATAGTGACCTATACTATTTATAAAATGCTAAAATACCCGTAAAAAATAATGATCAAGCCAACTAGACTATTTGTACTCATTAGATTTCTTTATTTTTTTGGTAAATTGCTCTAATTATAGATGAAAACAGAAAGAATGTTATTCCAAAACAAGCTCTAGTTGGCTTGATCATTGTTTTTTTTTACGGGTATTTTAGCATTTTATAAATGTTAGGTTGAGGAAAAAGCTGCGGAAAAAGCTGCTAAAAATGTCGGTTTTTGTCACAAAACTGTTTATTGCTAAAAACATAAACAAACGCACATCAATCAATGAGATATTCTCCATTACTGATTGATGACTTGTTCTCATGTTCGTCGCAAGTTCCTGATCCCATCCTCAAAAAAAAATTTTGGATAGATTTTTGGACGCTGATTTCAAATCTGCAAACAGATTTTCGCTAGCTGCTCCCAATCGCGAGATATTGGCGAGTTTTGGTTAGTTTGGTTTTGGTTTTGGTTTTGGTTTGTTTTGGTTTTGGTTTGTTTTGGTTTGTTTTGGTTTTGGTTAAGTTTTGTTTTCCGAAGTCTAGTTTCAACGCCCAATTTCTTTAAAGCCTCGTTAACTTTCATCAACTTTTTTGAGTAAAGATCAGCGGTGACAGTTCCGAGTGGTAAGGTTGGATTGAGTTCAATGGCATCAAGCAAATTCTCATCTGAAATCTCTTGGGGTCGTCCAGACCGTTCCTCGTCTTAGAGACTTTCATTTCCATCTTTTTAACCGCTGAAACCATATTTGGCATTGTCTTTCGCAAATGCTGTCTTCCCCAAAAACTTCAATGATTGTCCGATGCGATTCAGCCGCGAATTTTCCTTGTTTAAAATCATACCAAAAGGCGGCTCGAAGTCGAAACTTTTCATCTTGCATTTTTTACCTGAAAATATTGTTAAATTTGGTAAAAATTTGTAAAAATCAAATATAATATAAAAGTATAAAAGTGTGGTGATATCAATTTGAAAAAGAAATCGCATAAGCAAAGAAATGGAAAATTGCCAACAACGGGAATTCAAAACCGACATTACTTTTTCCTCAACCTAATAGTATAGGTCACTATTTACTAGATTTTTCTCAGAAAACCACCTTCAAAACAACAAACAATCAAACTAGAGAGTATTCTAACATCGTTCTTTTTGTTTCCCACCCTAATTAGATGAATTTAAGGGAAATGAGCACAAGTTGTTGTTATGGTAACAATCAAAAATTTAGTCATTTTTAGGAAGTTTTTGAGTAGAAAGCTAAACAAAAGAATTTTCCATTCCCCAAATTTTTTCTTGTTAAAGCTATTGTTCAAAGATGCCATTTTGGTTGTGGAAGCCAAATTTGGAGAAGATTCCTACCCAAAAACCAACTCCGAGTGAATATCGATGCTGTTGTGGTTGCTGCACTTCAAGAGTAGGTTTTACAGAAATTTTCACCTTAATGTGAATGTCTGGAAAAAGCGGTTCTCTTATTGGCCTAGGTATTCGATTGCCTATTCCCTTGTTAACAGATGTACAGCCACTTATCCAACCTTTATCCCATCTCAGGCTCTAACTTCAGGGTATATAAATGCTCTCTAGTTTTTCCAGGTTATAGTTTGGCTTATAGCAAACATTTGTGTGCTATAAGCTAGACAATAGCTCAAGCTAAACGGATTACCATCGACCTAATCTAGACAAAATCGATTTAGCAGAACAGAAGTCACAGTTCTGATTTGCTGTATGGTGAATCTCTTTGTCCTGGACCGATTAATCTGTCAAAGGAAAAAGACAAAGACATTAATCGGATCGGATTAATCCAACAGATTAATCATTCTATTGGGTTGGTGAATTGAAAACTGCCGGCTATTGTCATATGTGACAGTTTGAGCACTTTCTTCAAAAGAAATCCATTTTGGTACCAATGGAAAAGTTGTAGAGAATCAAAAATCAAGCTTATATCCAAATTTTCAGAACGATTCAAAACTGGCTTTCAAGAAATGCGAAATTTACGAATTTTCATAAAACTTGCATTTTAAGCGAAACTACTAAGTGTATCTTTTTGGAAATTTGGCTTTAAGCCTAATTTTTGATCCTCTACAACTTTTCTATTGACACCAAAATGGGTTTCTTTTGAAGAAAGTGAAGAAAGTGCTCAAACTGGGACATCTCCAGTCCTCCATTTTTGAGTCTCACACTTTTCTCACACACAAACCAAAAACCTACTACGAAAGCGGAATCCGCAAATTGTCTGTAAAATGCGCAGAAGTCGTCAATAATAATGGAAATTATTTCGAATGAATTCATGGTTTTATGTTGAATAAATTTTAGTTCAAAGTCCGGCAGTTTTCAATTCACCAACCCAATATACCTTGTTGAGCTGAGCCAGCTTTGCAATTTCGAGGACCAAATCCAGAAATATAAAAATCAACCCTTTTCCAGTGTGGTTTCACTTTTTCACCGTTCTCCAAGTAATTGCCAAGACGTTAAGCGTGCTTGCAACGATAGTCGTTCTCTTCTTCAAGTATCAACTCAATTTCTCAACTCTATCAATGGTATGGATTATATTTTAAAGTCTCTTTATAGTTAAAATTGAAGTTTTTAGAGTTTATAAATATGAAAACTAGATAGATGAAGGATAAAAATGAAGGAATGAAACTAGATAGTTTGTGTTACTCTTGTAGCACGGTAAATTTGACTTTTTCTCTGGTACTTTCTATTGGTACGCTTGTAAATAAATTGCATATTTGCATAAGACATACTCAAATTTGATTCAAGATTGATTTTTAAGTTGAATCGATGGTTTAATGTAGGTGTAAACACAGTCCTATTCATATTTATTAATCTAAATTTTTTTCTTTTTATGTGGGAGCATTTATCTCGATATTTATGACAACGATGGCCGTGCTCTCTATTGTCACTCTCAAACCCATCTATATTCAGATTTACTGGATTATTTTGGTAAAAGATTTATAAATTTCAAATTCTTAATTCAGTTTTGCTTCTCAATTTTTTGCTTGGCTTCGTGAACATCCTCCTTGGCCTAATAGTAGCCCTCAGCTGGAATGGGTAGGCTCTCAAAAAGCTCTTGATTGGAGGAAAAAAAAATTAGACAACCGGTGGTGATCAATGGAGCGACGTACAGTGTTAATGGAGGTACCGGAATCATAGCTGGAAGTTGGTCTAACCAATTAGCGTCTAACAAAACAAACAATTTAGTGTTTGGTGGAGCAGCGTTGGTCCTGTTGCTGTTCATGATTTGGATTCTAACTTGTGTCTACTCGTTTTATAAATACATTCGGTAAGTCTATTGATTTTCTAGCCAGGATTCCTATGTCAGTTTATATTTTGTTCCATCTTGGCCTAGAAACTTGAAAAGACATTCGGGAAGTTGTTGTTTGTGGACTTCCACATATCTGTTTGTGGACTTCCACGTATGTGGACTTCCAGGCCTGGAAAAGGGACAATTGACCTCCACGAAATGGTTTCGAGGAGCACAAAACAGGGTGAAAAGCAATTAACTATCAATGCTAATTTTTCATAATGTTAACGGTTCAAAGGTGCTCAAGGGAGGGAGGAAGTGTGACTTTATTGAACGGATAAACTCATATCTTAGACCTGTGATATCATAGGGGGTAAAATTTTGCTTGCTTTTAGCCTAGCTCAGGTTTCCCTATTTTAGGACATACTACAGCTTAGCATAGTTGCACTATACTATGTAGATTGTCTCTGTACATGGTGGGCCAGCATTACGGCGTCATCTTTTCAACAGATTGCATCCCAAATCAATTCAAAACCCCTAAGTCTTATATCGAGAATTGAAGCCTGAATTCTTGCCTACAGTTCTATACGAAAAGATCTTTGATTTGAGTTTTGTAGCCCATTTTTCAAACCCTCAACCGACCAGAGGCATGCTTCCATTTTTAACTGCTTTCTAACTCCTCTTTCTAACTTAGTACGCAAGGATCTGAAAGACACTATTTGTGTATCCTTAAATTTCTTATAGTGTCGGTTACAAAGTAGGATACTAACTAGTCCTATCACTAACTAGTCCTGATCTGGCTCCAGTTCAGTGTTTCTCGACCAGTCCAGTGTCGGGTCGGTTTAGCAAGTTATTGAGAAGATTCCGAATGGACATAAGTCTCAGTACTTTCATTTCAGAGATCGCCAATACTATCTGGAGAAAACGGGAGGCGCAAAGACAGTGCAACAAGCTTGAGGATCTAATAAACATTCAAAACATTTCACAATTTCAAATTGCATAGCTTTGTTGGTTACGTATCAAGATTTGAAGTAGTCAGACCTGTTTAAAACATTCTTTTTCTCTTAAAAGTTTGGTAAATTACTCAAAAATCGAGACCCTTTTACATCAAACTATTTACCGTATTTACTCTATTAGCACTTCTAATAGTACTGCACTTCTAATAGTACTGCACTTCTAATAGTACTGCACTTCTAATAGTACTGCACTTCTAATAGTACTGCACTTCTAATAGTACTGCACTTCTAATAGTACTGCACGCAAATTTGCGTTTCCTCCACGATCGTTCACGACCTCCACGCAAAGATCGTTCTCCTCCACGACAACGCGCGCCCTCATGTTGCAAAGCTGACTTCGCTCTAAAATAAATAGCCTTATTTTTTGGATCTTTTGGCGCATCCCCATATCGTCCGGACCTCGCCCCTTTTGATTACTATTTATTCCGGACCATGAGTAATGAGCTTGCGGGAGAACACTTCCGATCGGAAGAAGCAGTCAAAAATTGACTCCAAAAGTTTTTCTCGATACAAAACCAAAAACCTACTACGAAAGCGGAATCCGCAAATTGTCTGTAAAATGCGCAGAAGTCGTCAATAATAATGGAAATTATTTCGAATGAATTCATGGTTTTATGTTGAATAAATTTTAGTTCAAAAGTCCGGCAGTTTTCAATGCACCAACCCAATAGTATAGTATACAATTTTGATCTGAGTTCTAGTTGGAAAGTAGAGCTTTTTTGTAAAGTCGGCGGCAACTTTTTTGATCTAAGCCTAAGCCCTATAAAAGTTCTTCAGTACGCAACGGCAAAACAAATAACTTTTGATCAAGCCTAGCCCGCTTGGATTTTAAGTTTTTGCACTGTCACCAACTATTCCTCTAGCTATGGGCCTAATTTCACCCATAGCCAGAGTAATATTACCATGTATTCTCAGGGAATCACATTAACTTGTAATATTTTAGTTTTTTTTTTCATTTCAGGGATCGAAAATACTTTCTGGAAGGAAGAATGGGGGCCTCAAAGATGCTTGAAGCCTTGCTTGAAGCCTTGCTTGAAGCTCAACACTTGCTTGAAGCTCATAGGAATTTTATCCCTAATGCTCTTTCATGATTCGTTGATTTGAAACGCCAAAATAAAAGTACCTTGACTAATTTTTTGCAGGGACCATTCAAAACGTGTAATCTGCTAAATAATTTCTTAAAGCTTTTACTATTAGAACATACTTTACTTTAAGAGAAACAATGAAAAATCATCGCGCGACAAAGCAATGCAAAAGAGTGTAAAAGGTAAAAAAAGTGTTCCTTTCACTGTCGAAACCCAAATGAAATAAACAAAATAAAATGGACTTTTGCTTGTATAACTTTCATTGAAAGATGAGGACATTTTTCGAATGGCCTAAAAACAAAAAAAATATCTTTCGAGAACATTTCTCTAGAATAATACTATGACTAATTGCGAGATAAGGCCATACAATGACACAATATTAAGTTGTTTTGACCAAAAATTCGTTGAAAAAACCAAATTGAAGCAGTTATCTCAATTTCTCCATGAATTCTCTTCATTTTAATGAAAGAGAATAGATGGGGTGACTGAGAACACCTAACGAAAGTTGTTGTTTTGCAAGTCTTTCAATGAAAGTTTATATGGCTTTTGCAAGAAAATTGAAGATATAAAAGGTAGTTGATAAAATGAATTTCTATTACCTACTGGCTCAAACTGGGCGTTATTCATTTAACTTTATTAAACCTCACTGGTCTCGATAAAATTACTAAGATTTAGTTGTAAACTTTTTTCTTTTCCAACCAATGAAGGCTCAATTAGTCATTTTATTCAATTGATATTTAGTTTTTTTATTTAGCTGTACATTTTTAAACAGCGAGTTCGTAGATAAAAAAGCAAAAATTCAAAGCACACCTTGGAAAAGCCCTAAATAGTACCAGTGGACACTTAGTAAAGACATTAGCAAGGACATTAGCAAGAAATAGCTCTAAATAATTTAACTGGCTTAACTTTAAAACGGCTAATGGATTGTTAATTTGAATTAGTAAGCTTCAAAATGTCAAAACTTTTTCTCTTGATATATCTCGTTGAAGAAGACAAAAGCCTAAATATATTATAGCCTAAGCTTTAGAAATGAGCTATTCTGACGGAAAAAGGACTCTCGCTGAAACCGTTTATGCGAGGCTCGCGGTGAACCGCAAGAAGGATGGGAAGCCGTGGCTTGGACAATCAAGAATCGAGCCGATCCAAGCAATCCACAATGGCCAAATAGCATTGAAGGTTGGACTGGTTGAAAGGCTTTCTACCGATTTCGCTTAAAGCTTTTTAGGGGCATAACGGCCATAATTGTAGAATTTAAAGACAAGTGCCTCAACAACTAGTGATTAACAAATCTGGTGCAATGATTGTGCTTAATACGCCTAATCCACTCGGTTTATTCACTATAAAGCATTTCCAGGAATTTCTCAATAGTTGTAGTCATGTCTAATAGTAAGATTGAAAAATCATGCACTTGAAAGTACGTAAAAATAATGAAACTGTAATTTTGCAGCTATACAATTTTTAGTCTAGGCTGACTAGGAAGCGGGGGAAAACCTGAGCTGAATCTATTTGAGCAAAATTCCTCGTTGAAGTCAGCAAGTGCCTCAACAACTAGTGATTAACAACTCCAATTACAGGTGTTGCTCGTCAAGACAAACAGTTCGAATGTTGGAACCAGGGAAACCCACAACTAAAGCCTGATGGAAGTGGAATCCGGATCGATGAGCCTGATGTATACCAACAGATCAAAAATGTCACTGACCGTATCTATGACCAACCGATGAGCATGGACCCAACTGGTGGAGCCGATCATTACAACAATCCGGACAAAGAGGGATATCCAGATTGGACAAACAATGTTGAACGAACCAACAAGATTGGAAGCCATCAGTTTTATAAGAGCAAGAAGTGAATTTTTGATTGACTTTTTTACTTTTTGTAGAGCTATTGTAAGTGCACCATTTATGAATTCCTTTTAATTGTCTGATTGCAATGTTACCCATCAATTTATCCAATAAATCCAGAAGAAAGATTTCATGACGGTGAGCTTGTGAAAACATAGGTTTGTGAAAACATAGGTTTGTGAAAACATAGGTTTGTGAAAACACACGTGAACAAAGCATTGGTGAGATAGATTGTTGCTTTAGCGTTGTTGAATGGTCTCCTCTCATGCCCATAACTGAAAAGATCCAGCCCTCCTATACCTTGAACTAAAAGAACATTGAACAGAGCTCTCGTTAATGGACATATTAAGGAAAATTTCCGTAAGCATACGTCTAGTTTCTATCCAGTTACAACAAAGACATTTTAATAGACAACATTTCTCTAGACAGATAATAATCAGATGTTTATGTGGAGTGTGACTGCTCGCTTCTCACTCAATGACGAGTTCGGGTACCGGGGTAAAAAAAGAAAAACAAAACATTAACTCAATGTTTTGTTCGTTTCTTTTTTTGCATAAAAAATTCTCAATCAAAAACACGATAAATTCATTTGAATCGAGCCATTTTCGCAGAAGCCGATTACAAAGATTTCGTACAAATCTAGCGAAAAAATTTCATTCGTAAACGGTTAGCGAAAAATTTCGTTCGTTAACTGCTGAATTTCGTAAACGGCTACAACATATATAAACTAATTGAGTATCCAGTGTAACGTGCTTTATCTGCTGTGAAGCCTTTGGTTTTATGCTTAACTTACGAAAGAAAAAAACACGTTTATCGTCAAGAGGTTCAATGTCGATAGCACGTAAATGGAAACAATCAATTGAAACAACCATTTTCAGAAAGAACACGTCAAAACACACAATTTCAAAACAAGCGATCCAACAAATTGATCGAAAAATGATCAAAAAGGAGAGTCAACTGAGATCAGAGAAATGTTTTTATTAGCCGTTTCCTTGTGCAAAAGTTACTAAGCCAACACCCTGCTCAATATGAGCTGTAGGCTGTTTATGCTTTAAAAGACTTCAAAACTAGTAAAAATTTGTATCCAGTGTTTTTCTGGCTCCAGCATCTCAAATTTGTCCTGGATATGGTAATTAAGTGAAGCTATGTGCTCGGTTGGCTATTTTAGTTGGTGGTCAATAGTCGGTTGCCCAATATAGCTTTTTTAGCTATATTGGCAGACGGAAATGAACGGAAAATGTTGTTGAGAAAGCCATGGACACCAATTTTCATTTCAACATACTCAAATTCTTACTTTTCGGAGTAGAATCATGGTTATTTAGTATTCGAAAACAAACAAAAAGTGATTCAATAATCCATTTCAGAGCATTTAAAACCCCCATTTTAAGCTATTTTTAGCTATTTTTATTAGTAAATTGCCGTGAACGGAAAACGGCGCAGTCAAGCGGAAAGCGGCTTGGTCGTCAGCTTGTTAAAAACTTGTTAAAAACCATAAATGTATTACAGAAAAAGAAACATGAAAAGGCTTCCCGCTCGGAGATGCTATTCATGAAAGTAACCAACTAAATCATTCAATTTTAGTAAAAACGTATTTAGATGATTACGTCATCACTCTTCAATCTAATTTTTCTAATTTTCTTTCGACTAATCACCATCATATTAAATTTCTTTTCGGCTAAACGTTTTTAACTTTACTTCAACTATTTTTGAGGGTACTTTACAATTTTGTGGACAGGTTGAGCAGTTAAAGTGTTTTCGAACCTTGAAAATTCAATTCAACACAGTGTCGATGATTTTCTTACAGAAATCAAAGGAAAAGCACTCAAATCCTGGGATGGATCAATCACTCAAACTCGCTCCAAGACAGGACTGGATCAGGCTGGAGGCTCATCCCCTCAGATCCGACGAGCTCCGCCCCGTTTGCGGCATTAGAACCAGTTCAAATGTTGTTGTTGTTGTTGTACAACTCTTAATTAATTAAAAATGTTGCTTTTGTGAACAAATAATCCATTATTTTCATTTATTAAAGATCATTCGAATATTACAGATTTACAGATTACAGATCATTCAAAGAAACTCGAGTTTTACGGCCTGTGGGAGCCATCGAGACGACGGTCACTCCAATGTTCCTCCGGGCTCGTTCTCGTGGTTTACGAAGAAAGACAATGCATATAATACTGAAATTTCTCATATAAAGGTCTAGATTAGATCTGCACCTAGCTAGCAGATTGAAGAGCAACGATTGGATTGAAATCTCGTAGTCCATCCCAGATTGTGAGCACAGACCAACCCCAAAAGAAGTATAAGATGATGGCAAAAAATCACGGTGAGAAGCGAGTTTCCCAACATCTAGAAAATGGTTATCAAAAAGACAAAAAACATTTAAAAACAAAAGTGGTCATCGGTTTGAGTCTGGAGAAGAGTTTCTCGTTGATTTTTCAAAGCTCATCTCGGTGTCAGAATTGGTTTTTACCTCAGACGCCACACAACAAGAAGAAGTTCGTTTTTTTGATGATTTTTGACTGGCTGTTGTAGTTGTAACTGGATAGAAACTAGACATTAGTATGCTTACGGAAATTCCCTTTAATATGTACATTAACGAGAGCTCTGTTCAATGATCTTTTAGTGAAGGTATAGGAGGGTTGGATCTTTTCAGTTATGGGCACGGGAGGGGACCATTCAACAACGCTAAAGCAACAAAATAGCTCACCAATGCTTTGTTCACTTGTGTTTTCACAAAACTTATTTTTTCACAAGCTCATGAAATCTTTCTTCTGGATTTATTGGATAAATTGATGGGTAACATTGCAATCAGACAATTAAAAGGAATTCATAAATGGTACACTTACAATAGCCCTTACAAAAAGTAAAACGTCAATCAAAAATTCACTTCTTGCTCTTATAAAACTGATGGCTTTGAATCTTGCAAAACAAGAACTTTCGTTAGAGGTTCTCAATCACCCCATGAATTCTCTTTCATTAAAATGAAGAGAATTCATGGAGAAACTGAGATAACTGCTTATTTCCCAATCCAATTTGGTTTTTCAACAAATTTCTGGTCAAAATAGCTTAATATTGTGTGATTGTATGGCCTTATCTTGCAACTCCCAGTGCACCACTCCCTCCATAACCCAGAAAACGCAGAGCATAAACTTCTTCTGGTGCAAATCCGGCTTGGGGTCACTTTCGGGTTTCTCGCCTGGCCCCACCCATTGCCGCCCATCTCTCACGATACGAAAGAAATCTTTCTTTCTCGAATTGTGACAGGAGATGGGAAATGGGTTTTATCTGTGAACTTTTGGAGGAATTTCAAGCTGTTTTGACCAGAAATTTGTTGAAAAACCAAATTGGATTGGGAAATAAGCAGTTATCTCAATTTCTCCATGAATTCTCTTCATTTTAATGAAAGAGAATAGATGGGGTGACTGAGAACACCTAACGAAAGTTGTTGTTTTGCAAGTCTTTCAATGAAAGTTTATCTGGCTTTTGCAAGAAAATTCAAGATATAAAAGGTAGTTGAAAATCAATTTCTATTACCTACTGGGTCAAACTAAGCAGTTATTCATTTTACTTTATTAAACCTCACTTAAACCTCATTAAACCTCACCTCAAATTACTAAGATTTAGTTGTAAACGTTCTTCTTTTCCAACCAATGAAGGCTCAATTAGTCATGTTATTCAATTGATATTTAGTTTTTTTATTTAGCTGTACATTTTTAAAGCACAAATTCAAAGCACACCTTGGAAAAGCCGCAAATAGTACCAGTGGACAGTTAGTAAAGGCATTAGCAAGGCGATAGTTCTAAATAATGTTTAACTGGCTTAACTGCTAATCGAACTGCTAAACTGCTAACTGCTAACTGCTAAACTGCTAATCGATTGTTAATTTGAATTATTGGGTTGGGGAGAATGAGTCGGCGCCAAACTTTAAAGGGACTTCTTTGCACACATAAGGCCTTCTTAACATACGTTTGGCTTCAACAGAGTGATCCACTATTTCTCTACAAAATGACTTTTGAGAGATTCCACAAAGCTTTTCTTTCGTGGAGTTTATGGATTCCCAAACACAGCTAGATCAAAAAGGCAAAGAGTCCGACTCATACATTTGAACAGTTTCTTTCACATAAACCTCTTTGGTGTTTATATAAAAAGATAGAGCACATTCAATTACTTAAGTTGCCAAATTTGCGGGAAGATCCCACCCAATGGTTTTTTCTAGATCACAGTTTGTAGTTTTGTGAAAAAATGGCTTTTCTTGAGCGGAGGCGCTGTTTGAATTTTCTTTAAAATGTGATTTTGTAGAGAATTAGTTAACCATTCTACTCATATCAAACGCATATTGTTTGACGAAGTCGAATAGAAGTTTTACACATTTTTTTCATTTTCGGCGCCGACTCATTCTCCCCAACCCAATAATTCAATAATTTGTATAATTCTTACATAAAGATTATATCGATGATTTAAAAAATTATAATAAAATGTTAAATGGTCATTCTTATTATCTAGCACAATGAATCCGTTTGACTTTTTCGAGGGATGAACCAACGAAAGCTGTTCAACTTTTGGTGAATCTTCTCGATAATAATGGTGCTTGGTCCCCAAAGTTGATCGTCATTATTAGTCGTACTTACAAAAAAGACTTTATGGAAAAAGAAATCAGAAAGACTTTTCTTTAACCTGATTTATTGATCGAAGGGCTATATTGATGATACACATCAAATAGTTGACTGCTATTGGGCGCCTTTTACTCCAATCGCATAGCTGAACGTTGAAAACGAGCTTTCACA